TGTGAATATCTGTTAAAGTGTAATGTATTTCTGTGATGCGCAGCTGTATTTTCAGCATCATTACTCCAGTCTTCAGTGTCACATGATCTTCAGAAATCATTCTAATATGCTGATTTGCTGCTCAGGAAACATTTCTGATTATTATCAATGTTGAAAACAGTTGTGCTGCGCAATATTTTAGTGGAAACCGTGATGCATTTTATTTTTAAGGATACTTTGATGAATAGAAAGTTCAAAAGAACAGCATTTATTTGAAATAGAATCTTTTGTAACGTTATAAATGTCTTTACTGTCACTTTTCATCAATTTAATGCATCCTTGATGAATACAATTATTTTCTTTCAAAGAAAAAAAATATTATTGACCCCAAACTTTAGTAGTCCGTTTAATTTAATTGTACTATTTTTATTATTGTTTACAATAAAAAAAAAAAAAGTTTTAACATGAAAAATTACAGTAACACTTTACAATAAGGTTCATTAGTTAACTACTTGTAGCATTTATTAATCTTAGTTAATTTCAGCATTTACTAATGCATTATTAAAATCAAAAGTTGTGCTTGTTAACATTAGTTAATGCACTGTGAACTAACAATATTTTCATTAATAAATACTTTAATAAATGTATTGCTCATTGTTCATTCATGTTAGTTAATACATTAACTAATGGAACCTTATTGTAAAATTACATATGTCTTGTTGAATATATTTTTTCACCGTATATGTTGTTGTTGTTTTTTTGACTATAGCATTTTTAATGTGTACAGATATCAGTCTATGCAGATAGTTTATTTCTTCCCTATTTATTTATCAGGATTTACTTTATTAGTTGTTAGTGTGAATGTGTCGTGTGCAAATGTTAAATGAGGAACACTGATGAATTGCACAATGATGTTATTTGCACATGAAGCGCAGCAGGATTTCTCAATTCAAACCACCGTTGTGACAGATGCACTGTATGCATGTATTCATTCAAATAAGAGCTGCGTTCATCCGGAGCACAGCTGATCAGAGACTGGAGCTTCAGCGGGACACTGAGTAAACATGCATTGAGTTTGTTTAATCATTAACCTGCATGTCAATCTCCGTCTCAAACTAAACCTATACTTCTGGACTGAGCTGATAGCAAAGAGACTGCAACAAACATACACCGATCATAAGCAGAGTCAGCAATATCATGAAGCTGGGCAAGTTACCCAAAATTAAGAATCAATGGATATACACTTGTGCCATCTTCAGATAATGAATATTATATATGCCAAATTAATACCTTTAAATGTTTCCAACAACTAAGATGGAAATAATATAAATAGAATAATAAAAATGGAGATTTAAAAATAAATTTGATTTTGCAAACCATAACCCAAACATTTTTTTTTTTACTTTTTAAAGTGTATTTTATTATTTTGTTATAATAATTATATGATTTTTACTTAGTTTGAGGACCTACTTAAAGAAACCCTGAACCAGAACATGATATATAGTGGTGTGAAAAAGTGTTGGTCCCCTTCCTGATTTCTTATTTATTTGCATGTTTGTCACACTTTAATGTTTCAGATCATCAAACAAATAATATTTTTCCTCCATTTATTTTATTTTAATTTTTTTGGCTTCAAAAACCTTTTTCTCTTTTAAAAATGTTTTCTCTCTCCAAATTGTTTTTTTCAATATTTTTTTCCAAATTTTTTTCTTTCCCCAAAAACATTTATCTTCTGTAAGAAAAAACAAAACAAAAAAAAAAACTCTTCAAAAGACAGAGAAAGTTTTTTTTAAGAGAAAAGAGATTTTGAAGATAACTTTTTTTATCTGAAGACAAAAAAGTTTTTGACGAGTTATTTTTTTTTAGAGAGGAAATTTTTTTGAAGGGAAAAAGATTTCTGATAACGTTTTTTTGAAGAGAAAAAAGTTTCTGATGAGAGAAAAAGTTTTGAAGAAAGTTTTGTTTTTGAACATTTTAAGAAAATCTGTTGTGGTTCAGGTCTTCCATACATACTTCCTCACAATTACATGTCAACTAAAGCTTTATTTCACATGTAAACTTGCCAGACATACAATTGATAAAGACAGACATGAAATAAAACATTCAAGAAAGAGTGAAAAATGAGTACTTCTGAACAGATGACAGTGGAAAAACACTGACCAGACCAAACACAGCTGGAAAGAGCAAATAAGTGGCATGTGGCCAAGTATGGTGACCCATGGTTAAATAAAACCCCACGAGCAACAAATCACAGCGTTCCAGCACTTCTGAACCCTCTCAGACCCACTAACACTATCTATCAGTGCCTGATGGTGTAACATTAATAACCAGGCGTGAAACACTGAATGCACAGCTCTAATTCTATAGAGAGGTTCAGAATTTAGAAGGAACACGTAAACTTTGCCATTAACTTCATGCACGTTTCTATATTATAGATGAAAGGCACCTAGTGTCTGTCTGTTATAATGTGTTGACTGAAGATTTATTCTTGTGCAGTTTAGCGTTTCAAGCAAGTGTTTTAAGATGCGTTTTCGTTGCCCACCTGACAAGAGCTTGTTTAATGAGAATTCATATTCATAAGCACAAATCATTTAACATAATCAGGCAACAAGCTTAAAGAAATGTGAACATTTTCATTTGTAGTAAATCAAAAGCCTGCTAACATTATATACATAATGCATAATGTTGTTTTTTCAGTATTTTTGTCTTGTTTTCCAGTATAAATATCTGGAATATATATATATATATATAGAATTATCAAAATTTTGTGACTTTACACTTAAAACAAGAACTAATATTTGCTAATGGGGTCAGAAAAAAAAAAAAAAAAAAAAACTAAAACCATAAAAACTGTTAATTGAAATAAAATAACTGTGATAAAACTTATATTATTTCAGCAAGTTACCAAGGAAAAAAGTTCTAATTTTCAATTAGTAAAACCTTATTAGTAAAAAAAAAAATATATATATATATATATAGATATATATATGTACAAAAATAGACATAAATAAAAATACATTTACTGGAGATACAAAATTAAAGTATTATGTTGTTGTTTTTTTTGTGACTTTATGATTAGAACAAGATAAATATCTGCCAATGGGGTCAGAAAACAAAACAAAAAACTTCAATTTAAAGGGAAAACACTTGCAAATATTTGTTCTTGTTTTAAGTGTAAAATCACTAAATTGTGATGGTCAAATATCACGTGATCTACTTGAATTATTTAGAGAAGCACTCTTTAAAATGCTATGGAGAAAGTCAAACAGTGTCTAAAAGAGGCAAATAAACTAAAAAGACTGATGAAAACAGTCTTGAACCAGCACTAACATATATTAAAATCAATGTATCACGTTTTATTGTAGGCTTATTTATTGCGTAAAATTTAGTCTTGACTTGCTGTACAATTTATATGAGATAATCTGTTCAGAGAATAGATGTTTCCCTATAGATTTATATTACAGCTGTGGCATGTTGAAGCTATTGGTTCTAAATGTGCAGGCGGTTGTTTCTTCATGCTATATTGATTAATACAAAATAAAAAGTAATTACTGGCCTGGTAATGATTAATAGGCTAGTCTTATTATAACAAATGCTACAGTTAAGAACTATGGTACATGGCCTTCAGATATTCCAAAAGATGGCAGATTAAATCATTAAGAGCCTGATGAACTGTTAAGGAGTTAGAAATAAACAATATCAATGTAAGAAAATGTTAAGTTAGATTGACTGCCCATGGCATATTGAATTGGAACATTCTGTCAAACTATAGCCCATAAGTGCCTAAATAATATAAAATACATTATATCCTATGTAAAGTAATTGTTAACTATGATGTTACTTTATTGCACCAACTTTGCATAGATGTTAGCACAAAACACCAGTTCACAAACATAAATGTACAAGCAAACACACAAACAAATAAACCTTATGAGTGAGCATGACCCATTTGAACGAATCAAATGAATAAATGACTCGATGACTTAATCATTAAGACATTTACCACCACCTACTGGCAGTTTTAGTTTATTATTTAGAGGGTCATTTCATTAAAGAAATAATTTCATATTTCCATAGTAATAATAATAATAATAATTCATTATTAAAAGTATAGTTCACCCACCCAAAAATGAAAATTTTGTCATCATTTACTCACCCTCATGGTCCAAAAGAGTATATGTAATACATTTTATGTTGAATCAAACAAAATATTTCTTGCTGAAGCTACTTTTTGTAATGTCTGTTTGATGCTTTACACAACCATGACTTTAAATGATCTTTTGGGAGTAATTTCTCGGCCAGATTAGATGTGTGCTTAATTAGATGAATTAATCACCACATCATGTAATTAATTCGATTAAAAGTAGTTTTAATCGCTTACCAGACCTAATATATATATATATATAGACAAAAATGTGGAAGAATATAATTTTTTCAGTGTACTTCAGAATTACAGAAAAAAAATTATGTTTGTAAAATAGGATAAACTGTATTTGATTATTGTACAACATATCTGGTATTAAACATTAAAACAAGAACATGCACAAAAAAAAAAATCAGTCCCACCCGCTACATTTAAAACATTAAAAATAAAACTTTTATACTTACAGTTTAAGGTGAACAAAACAACCCCTTTCTAGAAAAAAACAAAAAGATTGTACTGTTTCCTCTCAGCATGATTGTTGGCTGATTATTATTGCTTTCAAATGAATATGAATTTTGTGAATTGCTTGGAGCGTCTAAACTTGTAATCAGCATAATAATCTCTAAGACACTCAACGTCTACAGGCTGTGCAGAAACACACACACACACACACACACACACACACACACACACACACACACTCACACACACAATCACACACACTCGAACACACACACACACACACACAACAGGCACACAATGTAACACACACAAGCAGACAAACATATTTGGTCTTTAAAATAAAACGCTACATTCATTACAGCAGCTGTTTTCTGATTGGACGTCAGCGACTTTCTTCAGCCATCTGATTGGCTGAACAAACGTAAGACTCTGTATTTAAACTACATGGATAAATAAGTGTTCAAATCGTCAGGTTTGAGGTACATGTCTGCTAGTTACTGATGACTGAACGTCGACTTTGGTTTGAAATGGTCAGTGAATGTGTTTCTCTACAGATCACTACGCCGCCCTGCTTTGGTGCTTCAGTGACCGTCGTGATGTGCTTGTCGTGTTCTTTCCGCGTCAGCGCTGATCGTCTGTCATCACGGCGAGTTTGTCGGAGAACACTTCAGACTGCTGAGAGCTGCGTGGATGCGGAAATGAAGACGAGACTCCATTGAATAGTCCTTATAATTCAACCTACAAACACACAAATACAGTCAGATTCATCAAGTATTGCTTAAATTATGGTGTTGATTTTCGAGCAGCTGCCTGTTTAAACTACTCAGAGGTAGTCAGTATGACCAAAAATGAACCTCTTCTTTAAATGACGCTCTGACGCTTCTCGCAATAAGCGCTGTTAAAATTGAATGATGAAATTAATTTCTCCACCAACTGTAATTATGTGTTAAATCCGACAAAGTGGTTTAATAAGGAATGCAATCATCTAGTGAAATACAAATTTTGAACACATTTTACTATATAATTTCTTTTGGCCCTTGAACTTGGCATGTGGGACAATGCACACTGTGCCATATTGTGCCATCAGCCCATTTTGTGCCTCAGTTTCTCGCCTGCCACAGAGGATGTGCTAAAGATGACATAAGACCTTGATATTAAACTTACTGCACAAATGAAATCCAAATTGTGAGCACATTTTGCTGCACCAATCATTTCTTATGGACCCTTGAACTTGGTATGTGGGACAATGCACACCGTGTCATATTGCACCATCATCCCATTTTGTGACGCTATTTCTCAGCCACTTCAGAGGATGCGTTAAAGATGACATAAAGACTTGATATTAGAGTTACTGCACGAATGAGATCCAAATTTTGAGCACTTTTTTCCAATACCAGTCTTTTTTTTGGACCCTTGAACTTGCCATGTGGGACAATGCACACTGAGCCATATTGCGCCATCAGCCCGATTCGTGGTTCTGTTTCTCAGCCGCTTCAAAGGAGGCATTTAAGAAGACATAATGCCTTTATACTAGAGGTACTGCTCTAACAAAATCCAAATTTTGAGCACTTTTTGCTGCACCAATCTTTTTTTATGGACCCTTAAACATGGCATGTGGGACAATGCACACAGCCGTATTGCACCATCAGCCCAATTTGCTGCACTATTTCTCAGCCGTTACAGAGGATGCATTAAAACAGACATAATAAATTAACACTAGAGTTACTGCTGTAACAAAATCCAAATTTTGAGCAAATATTTTCCAATACGCCAAGCTCAAAGACCAATTTAAAAAACTGATACCGTAAAAGTGCTCAAAACTTGGATTTCATAGGGCATTAACTCCAGTAAACTCCTTTTATATTTCACTTCATTCGATTGTAACAGCGCATATTGTGTGCAGCACCACAGACTTAAGGAAGTGTGTTATTGAAGAGATATCACTATGAAAGCTTTAAGTTCTCATTTATTTCAGAAGGGACATGTACACGTATGAAAGCGCACTCACTTGGCGTCCTCGATGAAGTGCGTGGCTTTGATGTAATCGCCCTGCTGCTTGTAGAGTAAACCCAGCTCATAGAGGGTGAAGGGGATCAGATAGTGATCGTAACGGATGTGCTTCTCACTGTGAACACACCAAGTCATCATCGAACCTACAGCTGATTCACATCACAGCAACAAGCCACTCGAGTGACTTACAGTCACTTTACCGTAACTTAAAAACAAATGTTTACCTGCTCAGCACCTGTGTGAAGCAGAGCTCAGCCTGCAGTAATCGGCCCAGATGCTTCAAACACAAACCCTTCAACATCTGAACCAGACACTGATCATCAGGATGGAACTCAGACGGGTCTGAAACACACACACACACACACACACACACACTCTCTATCTCAGTGGAGACTTTGCACGGACTTCTAGAGTTGATGACGAATCCCATAACGCAACCCCTCAGAAACCTTTTTGCATATTTTTAATTAATTAAAACATGATTTAATATATTTATTAATCCAGCTCCCTGTAGTTTTCTACCAAAATAAAAGCTTGATGCTTTAATGTTTGAAAATGAGGAATTAAGACAATACTAAAGCCACAAATATTAGTATTGTACTTTTACAGTTATACTTTTATCATATGATGCCATCACATTATTTTTCTTAAATAGAATTGTTTTATTTTACAGTGAAATATTATATTAGTAGTAATTCTTAGTTTGTTTAATATTTTATTTAGTAATAATAATAGTAATAATTATTATTATTACAATTTGGTCAAAATGTGTGATTATCAATTTGACAATCTTAACAATAATAATAATAATAATACATATACTTATTACAATCAAAAGTTGAGAATATATATATATATCAGTATGACAATATTATTATACAATATGATTATTATTATAATTTTTTTAATTATTATTATTATTTTTTGTGCCAAATTGTGCAGCAAACCTGGAGCTCTTAAAAAATTTTTTTTTTATCATAAAAATAGCTATTTGCTTTTTTTCCCTCAAATTGTGCAGCCGTAATTTATGAGGTCAAACGCAGTAAAACGCAGAAAGTTGATAAACATGTCATTAGATCTTTGCGGTGTGTGTGTGTCTCACTGGGATCGTTGCGTAGCTGCTCCTCTGCTCTCTCGATGGTGATCAGTAAACTCTCAGTGGCATCCGCACGTTTCCCAACTATAGTGAAGCCGTTCCACACATACATCATTTCCTGTGTGAGGAAGAACCACAGATGCATCACTTCCTCCTCTCTTCATTTACACGTGTTTTTGGTGTGTGTGTGTGATAGTGAGAGTGTGTGCGTGTGTGTCTGTGTGAGAGTGTGTGTGTGCGTGTGTGTGTGTCTGTGTGAGTGTGTGTGTCTGTGTGAGAGTGTGTGTGTGTCCGTGTGCGTGTCTGCGAGTGTGTGTGAATGTGTCTGTGTGAGAGTGTGTGTGTGTCTGTGTGCGAGTGTGTGTGCGTGTCTGTGTGTGTCTGTGTGTGTCTGTGTGAGTCTGTGTGAGTGTGTGTGTCTGTGTACGAGTGTGTGTGTGTCTGTCTGCGTGTGTGTCTGTGTGAGTGTGTGTGAATGTGTCTGTGTGAGAGTGTGTGTGTGTGTGTGCGTGTGTCTGTGTGAGTGTGCGCGCGCACGTGTGCAAGTGTATGTGTGTGTAAGTGTGTGTCTGTGTGCGAGTGTGTGTGCGCGAGTGTATGTGAATGTGTGCGCGCGCGTGTGTGTGTATGAGCATGCGCGAGTGTGTGTGTGTGTGTGCATGTGTGA